AGGTAGTAGGTAGTAGGTAGTAGGTAGGTAGTAGGTAGTAGGTAGTAGGTAGTAGGTAGTAGGGAGTAGGAGTAGGTAGTAGGTAGTAGGTAGTAGGTAGTAGGTAGTAGGTAGTAGTAGGAGTAGGTAGTAGGTAGTAGGTAGTAGGTAGTATAGGTAGTAGTAGTAGTAGGTAGTATAGGTAGTAGTAGTAGTAGAAGTAGGTAGTAGGTAGTAGGTAGTAGGTAGTAGGTAGTAGGTAGATAGTAGGTAGTAGATAGTAGGTAGTAGATAGTAGGTAGTAGGTGGTAGTAGGTGGTAGTAGGTAGTAGTAGGTAGTAGTAGGTAGTAGTAGGTAGTAGGTAGTAGGTAGTAGGTAGTGGTAGTAGTAGTAGTAGTAGTAGTAGTAGTCGTAGTAGTAGTGGTAGTGGTAGTGGTAGTGGGGTAGTGGTAGTGGTAGTGGTAGTAGTAGTAGTAGTAGTAGTAATTTTGTCAATTTTTCGAGGCTTTGTGGGCTCGCATTAACTAGGGGAGGTTTATTAATCCTATGTTTGTATTAAATCTAGTACCGGGGCCTGGACCCTTTTAATTCCACACTACAAAACGTCCATCAATTAACATCAACAAAAACATCATGAATATGGTCTCTTGTTCAATCAATGACTAGAGTGCGACTGGAACATTTCATACAACATTCGAGCACCAAATTCCTATCCCGGACGTTGCCTTTTTAAGGGATTTGTTGATGTTTGCCACAGTTCTGCTCCAAAGCGGCTTGAATCCGGTGTTTGATGTGTTTGACAATCCTTTCAAAGCAAGACGTTGCACTGTTCCACCTGAATTACTTTACTTCGAAATTCCCCACCCTCAAAGAATTGGTCTTCACAAGAGAAAAGCGGTTCGGCGCGAAAAGGATTCTTTATTGAAAACAAAACCACACATCGAATACTTACTTGTGAGGTTTCTGAACTTCGATATTTTAATGCCTGGCAACCCCACATCCCTGCCAAGTCAACTTGTGGTGGATATGCTGTGGAACTGGTACTTGTGAGCACTCTGGTGAATGTGCTGGTGTAAAGGCTACGCTGGGCTACTCGGGGCCACTCTGGTGGATGTGCTGTGTAAGGGCCACTCTGGTGGATGTGCTGTGTTCTTTGGGTTGCTCTGAGCTATGCTGGGACCACTCTGGTGGATGTGCAGAAGTAGCGAGTCTGCTGAAGTCCAAAGTTCTTAAAATCTAACAGCCCCACAGTCCTACGGGTGGGGAAAAAACTGCTTTGATAAGTACAATACAAGTCTACAACTATCCTGCGATCTCTTTGGTAAATGTGCTGTGGAGAAGCTAAGTTGCGCTACTAAAAACTGTGGTTGCTGTGGACAAGCTAAGTTGAACTACTTAGAAATCAGTTTGTGAATGTGCTGTGGAAGAGCTAGGCAGCTAGGTTTGGCTACTCAGGGATCAGTTTGGTGAATGTGGTGTGAATACTCAGAGGTCATTTTGGTGAATGTGCTGTGGAAGTGCTACGTTGAATTACTCAGGGATTACTTTGGTGAACAGGGATCAGTTTGGCGAGCGTGCTGTGAAAGAGCCACTTTGGGCTACTCAGAGATCACCTTGGTGAACGTGCTGTGGAAAAGCTAGCTTGAATACTCAGGGATCACTCTGGGGAACGTGCTGTGGAAGAGCTACTTTGGGCTACTCCGGGATCTCTTTGGTGAACATGCTGTGGAAGTGCTGCGTTGAACTACTCAGGGATCAAATTGGTGAGTGTGCTATGGAAGAACTGCTTTGGGCTACTCAGGGATTACTTTGGCGAGTGTGGTGTGGAAGAGCTA